AAGAGAACAGAAACATATGATAGTAAGTTTACACTGCATGTAACAAGGAATAGATTTAAAAAAAAAAGTGCAATAATTTGTGATCAACACAACTACAACATAATTATTATTTATATTAAATAAAATATATATTTAATCATGTATTCATTGAATTAATTAGATGAATATTATTACAAAATAAAACAAAATAAAACAAAATAAAATTCAGTTATCTAAATAAATAAAATATATATCATAGCAATTCTGAAACAAATAATGAAATAATCTTTTTCATTTTTTTGAACGCTGCACAACACTGATGTCTACCGTTAGTTTTTAGATAATTCTATGCTTTATTGGAATTTGAAGAAACAAAGTGAATCAAGTACGCTTATTATACGCTTATAAAATTTGTAAGGAAGTAAAATGTTTCGTCCTAACCTCGCTGGTCCATTTAAATCCAAAAAAAATAAGCGTTCGGCTAAAAAGCCGCCCGCGGTCAATATGGAGGACGTTGAAAACGAATCTGACCCATTTCTTAAAAAAGTTTTTAAAGTGGAGTCGTGTGTTTGCGATCGTCCATCAGTGCATCTGGTGTGCTTAAATTGTGGTACTACCACGTATGGTAGAATTCAAATGCTGTGTCCAAAGCATAGAAATGTAAGTAAAATATGATTAACTACATATAGATATTAATATGTTCTAATTTGTTTCAAAATTTCTTTGTTGTGTTTGTTTGCCCAACAACAAATTTCGACGCAGTTGCGCTTCTTACTATAATTTGCGCAGCTCTCTTTTTCTTTTTGGACATTTATTTGTAACCGAGTTAATTGCTCCGAAGTTCGACAGGTCTCAGCTGTGGTCCTATTTATTTTATATGTACTTTATAGCTTAAATAAATTACACAAAGCGTTTTTCAAAAAGCGGTACTACATATTAAATGTGACGTATGAAGTATTTATGCGTGAAAAAAATATATAATTAACGTAATTTATTTTTCTACACATGTTGTAGATATTTGTGGCGAATGTTTGCATTTAGTTCTGTCAAACTGTAAAACTTAGTTTAGAATATATGTTGTTGTTGCCGGCAAGGATCCTCTTCTGTTGTAACTCGCTGGGACCTGCTTGTGATGTTCCTTTGGGAGATGTTGGGAGGTGTTGAATGGTATTTGTCGGCGTTGGCGATGAGTAGTTCGGGACGTAGATCTGACCGTTCAGCTTTTGTAGTCCCTTTTGTGTGTAGAGATTGAATTTGGTCGTCGAATTTAACGAGTGGCTCTGGGACGTAAAGTCGGCCGCTTTTGAAATATTGAGCTAAAAATAACTGTTGATCCATATATTTGTGTGCATTTCAATTTGCTTCTCTGCTTGTCTAAGTAAATCTAAGCAAATAAAAATTAGTATATAAGGTTTATTAGATTTCTATAAATATTCGTTTTAAATAAACGAATATCTATAAATATTCGTTGGGTTATCAGAAATGATTTCTATCTTTTTTATCTCTTTTATATTTTTTATTTTTTATACAAATTTGATCATCTTATTTGGGTGTTCATAATAATCACTCAAAAATCAACCAACATTTTTTTAATAGTTTTATTGCATTTCATTTAAGTCGGTTCAGATTTAGATATTGGTTCTTATCAGTTCCTGTTGTTGTTGTCATAATTGTAATCTGCTGGGACCTGTAAGCAGATAACATGACAGGATATACAAGACGATTCGATTACATGGGTGGGAAAGTGGATGGGTAGTGGTTAGGGGTTTTATCAGTTTCTAATTACATAGGTGGGAAAGTGGGTGGGTAGTGGTTGGTAGTCTCAGTTTTTAATTTGTATCAGCTATAAAATTAAAAATGGGATGTGAATATAATACCTTCTGATTCTCTATGTTCAACATTCGGATTGTAATCTATTCTATTTTAATTTGACTTAAACAATTAATGAAAGATGAGATCAGACACTCAAACTCTATTAAATTTTACTAAATATATATTGTAAAAAAATTGTGGTTCGCTTTTTTAATGACACATTATTGTTGTTGTAACCAATATGGGATCGATGAGAGTAAAAACTAGAATTGATTACAAGGCATATATGGTACTTGGGACAGAAAACTGTATCCTTGAAGCGATTTGACGGGATAATAGATAGTAGATAATGTAAGAGAAAAAAGAATATGGGTGGAGTATTGAAATTTGCCCAAATGGAGGTAAAAAAAATTTTGTTACTTAAGTTGGACAAAAAATCAGATAAACGATGTCAAAAAGAGTAGTAACTGCAGTTGAGTTACACATTAGGAATGGATGTGGTCCAGTAACAAATTATCAATCTACAGCCCTCACTTGGTACAGATCAGCTCTTACTACATGTAAAAGATGTTTATTATTCCTGGGAATATTAACTAACTTGTTAAAAAATGGTTAGAAGCGTGTGGCGATACAAATACAAAATTTCTTACCATAGAAAGAAGGTGCTTTATCAAATGAGACGCCGTCTTACAATACAATTTAGTTTATTTTAATGACAAAATAGTTTAAAAACTGAAATAGTAAATTGAAATTATGTATCTTTAATGAGATTGGGAACGTTTATCGATATGAATTCTAAATTGCGATACAAACTGTTAAATATTGTGAGTTATGCTTCAGAGAAAAATATGAGGTAATATATATAATATATAATTATTTTTATTACTCTAATACTTATTCCAATATATATTTAAAGTAAAATGGTTTCTTATAAGTATTTGTTTTTATTTACTTTGTTATTACATATATCCATGTATAGTTACTTTAGTTTTTTTCTATGTAAACGTTATAATATATTAATAAATCTTTTATTTATTAATTTTTTAGGTTCAATGGTTAATGGATTTTGGAGCGTGTCCTAAGTGCAATGCGGATAAAAGTCAAATAAAAGAATATAACGCAGCCCGATCTGTGCGCGCAAATAATCCTTAAAACTTTAAAACTTAAAAATAATTAATACACATTTATTCATATACAACAGGTACCTAATATGCTCAGTATTTGCCTTCAAAAAATAATAAATAATATTTTTATTTTATTTATAGTTATTAAAAGGATGCTTTCATTTTAATACATTAATTTAATTTATATTCAAAATATACATCATATTAAGGAATATACTCTTTTTCGTTGAGCTGTTAATCTATATTTAATAAAAATGAGTACGGAAGAAGTCATGTTTATAGTAAATCTATAAATGTCATTAAATTAAAGAATAATTATATGTTAAAAAATATATATTTTATAATTTCATTATAAAAACTTTTTATATCATATAAAACTATCAATATTATATTACATATATATTATGCATATAAATGCTATGTTTAAGAAAACTATTAATAGATAAAATTATATATTAAAATGGTTTTAACTTGTTACTTGTGTTGTCGATTAGCACTTGTTTCAACAATTATCAAAAAACATAAATCCATCACTGAAAAGAAAAAAAATTGCAGAAATGATAAAAAAAACTATATAGAAATTTTGTGTTATTGAAAATTATAACAAAAAGTAATATATAGCTAAAATAATACGTATATATTAATCAAATATACTTTTTACTGATTTCAAGTATTTAACAACAATGTAAAAGCTATAATATGTTAGTGTTATATATTTAATATATTTAAAACGTTTATGAACATGTAAAGAAACATTTTATTTTAAATAAAAACAAAGATCAAATGGCACCATTGCCTACAAAACCTATTTTTTGATTATAGGCTTAAAGTTTTAGCATGTAACGTATTGAGTTCAAATCTGTAACCCGTTTCTCTCCCAGACATCTGAGACTTTAACAATAATGATTAAAATAAAGAAAAAATGAATTTTGTATTTTTGTAGAAAGCTCGCTATAGATAAATATTTTATGTTATATCCCTTTATGTCTGAAAGGGATGTATTTTTAAAATATTATAAAATCATAGTGTACGGAAAAACCGTTCTTAAGAACTGATCTTTTGGAAGGAAAGTAGAAGGATATGGGAAAGGAATCTGCGGCCGTTGTGCTCAAGTGGGCTTTGGCGCACAAAGTCACTACTCCAATCTAAATATATTATGAGGATCAAAGATCTTAATTCAAAATAGGCAGAACGATATTGAATCAATTGTTAGGAGTTTCCAACGTTTAGACTTTCAACGACTATTCCAATAGTATAATGTCTGGTATAAAATTTGAAAATAAATAAGACTGAAAAGCCTTTTAATTTTTAAGTCCGAATCATGTTAATTTTAAGTAAAATTTTAAGTAAAATTAACATGATTTTAAATTCATTTAAGTAATTATAAATTATTGTTACAACTAATTTTTAAAATTTATTAAAATCTTTTTATTAACACTAAGTAATAACTTAAATTCTTTAAAACGTTCGTATTGAGTATTCCATTCCCAATTTTCTTCAATTATCACTTAAAGATAGTTTTTGATAAAACACAATAAAATCTTCGTTACATCCATGAATGAAAAAGCTTATATTCACTATTTAAAGATTTCGTTTTATTATTCAGAATATTTCAATGAATATTGCATTCCTATGTGTACATATAAAATCATCCATTGATAACTTGCAATCACCTTTTGCGCGTATTAAATTTTAAGGATTCTAATTCCTTAAAGCAGTAGAATGGCATGCAATCTTCCACTTAAGCACTATGTGCTCTTTAGGTAAAGTTGTCGGATTAACTTTCAGTAAACTTAAAGTAAAAACAAAAAAAAAATTTTAAAAATAAGTGGCAATAATAGGATTTAATTTGAAAAGATTTGCATACAATAATAGAATCACTTACTTCAGATAAAAAAATAATAATGGAGAATGGAAAGTAACCTGACGCGAGTAATTGAAGTAAACTGCACGAAAGTGAGGTACAGAACAAAACCAATCCTTTTTAAATGTGAGAAGATTTAATCTTGTATTATTAAATTTTTATTTGAATCCTGTTTGTTAAAAATTAAAAATGTTTATATAAATATATAAATAATAGAAATAATGAATTGTATACCATTGAATATTGAAAGCATGGATCCCAATTCACCAATGGATCTGTTGTACATGTTTTTGGTATTAACATTGCCTGTGCTTTTTTAATCCTAGAATATGTTAAAAAAAATGGCAAAAGCATTTTCCAAGTTAAATCAATCCCAGAAAAGTGAAAAGGGCATATGACACAGTTTCGAGGTTTAACGATTTTGTTGTATTAATTTGTCGACGTTTTTCAATACGTGTTTTTATGGAATTGTCGCAATCTCGTTAAAAATATTAAAACAAAAGCATTTTAAAACAATTTTATTCATTTTATTATTTTTCCTTTTGTTGTGATTTCAATGGATATTCCATATAAAGGACAACAATACCATTCAGAAAAATGTAATGGCAAAAAAATGGGTCACCGATTTAATGTACATACACGACTATTAAAAGTAATATATAAAATGGGCTTAAGATTTTAAGAGGGGAATCGACGAAATTTGAACAAATTTTTCCCTATGGTATTATAATGAATTTTTGGTAACAAAAGGTGTTAAATTTTTAATTAAATTTTTTGTTTTAAAAACAATTCAAAAACTATTATTAAACTATAAAAATTATTATAATAAAATATAGAAAATTCAATTACAAAATTTAAAAAATTTAAATATATAATAGCTGTGTTGTTGTGGTGGTGGTGCTTTGAGTTAGTGCGCATTTTACTCTTTTGTGGCTTATCCCTGCCCCACACGAAACTTTAACTATACTAGAATTATTATCATTTATTTATATTTTAACTGATGACGGACCATAGATCAGTATATCTTCCTGTGCATCGTAAGATAGACTTAAGTTTTGTTAGAGCGGGGTTAGGCAAAGTATCGAGTTTTGTGAATAATAGCTGTGAATTCATTCAAGAAATTGTATAAGAGTTCCATCAGTAACATATACGATGTAGTACAAAGAAGTCCATTTTTTTCCTAATAGATGGCTTTATTTATTTGTTTCACACGTTGTGTAAGTCCGATCGTGTGCGCTAGATGGCGTTAGGAAGATAAGATTTCGTACTAAAAAATTTATTATTATTACATTTTTTTATATGTTATTTCAATATATTTATGTAGGTATTCTCAACTCTAATACAATTTTATGTCAATCCAAAATCTTTCTATTATTTCTTTCATTGATTGCAGATTGGAGCAGATTTTAGAGACATACGAGTAGGATTAAATCTACCTAATAATTGAAATATGATAACATTACTGAAATAAGAGCTCATCTCATCCGGCTTGTGGTTTTTCTAGAAATTGACGAAAAATTAGTAGTCACTGATGATTAACTCCATAGATGACTTGGGATATGATTGCACTGTTGCCGTAAAACCTATTTCTCAATAACATATTTTTGAGATTTGTGAACCGATAGTAATCTCTGTGGATATAATCTACTATTTAAAATAAATAACATTAGAAATGCAGATGTGTAGGATTTAGCTGTATATAGAAATTCCATACCTCTCAAGTGAAGTGACTTTTATTAAAGTCTTGGACACGTGACAGTACAATAGAGATGAATAGAATACCGGTGATGCTGAACTCAACGCTTACCTAAAAGAGGTCGTGACATCGGAAAACCTTAAAAATGCCAACAAATTCGTTTTGGCAAATCGTGAAGTGAAGATAAAGTAGATAGCTGATTTCTTAAAAATTTCAGAGAAATGTGATGGCCATAATTTACATGAATATATGTCTATAAGAAAACTCTTTCTAGGTGGGTGCTGCCAAAAACAACAACGTGTACCATGAGAACCTCATGCATAATCTCTACTCTTTTTAGGTTGCGGATTTTTAGTGTAATTAGTTAGATATTCCCAAGTGATTTCCTTTAAGCTATAAAAGACATGATAAGTAATCACTATCACACATAATAATAAACTTTCATTAAAATAGAAATTCCAATTTTTTTTTTATCAAAACGATAGCATTAAATCAGCTCTCATCATATCAATTTATTAAAAAGTCCAAAACCGAAACGAGAAATAAACCAAGTCTAATAAAACTTATTATTGTTGTTGTTCTAACAAAGGAAAAGTCATAAATCCTTTTATGCACCATCACAAAGTTTACGATTATTAAATAACTTCAATTCTTCAGCAAAGCAATAAGCACAAAAATTGTACATTACAAGAATGACTGCATCATTCCATTACTTCGTTTTCTATATAAATATGTACAGATATATATATATATATATTCAGTAGCAATGAGAAGATATATATTGTATCTATGGCCCGTAAGGGCAGGCAGAAACTGCTGCAGCAATAAAGGAATTTGTGCTTTAATCGGAAAAACGCATTTGAGAATAATACGAGTGCACACAGATTGCAAAGGCGGTTCTCCTAGTAAAATTGTAAAACATTCTAGAATGGAAAAATATACAAATATTGTATATATGTATGTACTCGTATGTAAACAAAAAAGTCCAAATATACGCACACAGGAGGAGTACAAATATATCGAAGATTACGTCCATGCAACACAATGAGATAAATTGCAACAAACCAAAAACAGGATGCTGTGGCTGCAATTCGAACATTGTAAAGGCAAGGCATCCCAATAAACAACAATAACAGAAATAACATGGATATTACGAGCATCAGTTCTTAAGGATCAAGTTTTCAATGTGCACAAGAATGGATAGATTTGGAATTTCGTCGGAACTGAATACATCAATATGGTATTGAAAGAACCCAACAATATTCGTTGCAAAGTTATTAATCTCTCAACTAATTGCAAAATGTATAAAATTCTCCGTTTGTAGTTTTATTTCCCACAAAATTTTTAATCTATTCCTCACCAAACTTAAGGTGAGTGGAAAAACATAAATCATGAATAAATGTTCATGCTTTCAATAATCAATCAACCCAAAAAAACCATGAACAAATTTCTACCTCATATATTTTTATCTGGAGTATAAGGTGCTTGCCGTGTGAACATGATATTATACTCTGTTAATATCTTTTGGAACTGTCTTTGTGCCAAAGACTTTTTGTTCTTTTTTTCATCTACATCATTTCAAAAACGCTTTTTTCCGATATTTTAGCATTCGAAATACCGTGTCTTATATATTTGCTCGGTTAACATGAGCTAATCATCACAGAAGTGCTCTAGAATTGTGGAAAGCTTCCGTCTTTAGAATCTGCAAGGGACGATATGTACTACTGCTTTTGGTGCAACTTGATAAACAGTTAAAGCAGTGAAACCAATACCTTCGCTAAATATATATATAAAATTATTTTGAAATGTTAATCGAATGAATCATTATAAGTGGGTTCCGAGGAACCTTTAAGGGATCACAGGAATGGACATTTTAATTTTAGTTGCAGCAAATCAAATACTGACGCAGTATGATTGGTCATATCTTGGTTCCCATGAACCCTTGAGGGATCACAGGATTTTTATGGTGGGTATTTGAACTTTAGTTACAGGAAATCAAATACTGACGTATGTTAGTACGATTGGTGATAAAAAGTGCTTATGGAGTTTCTAGAAGAAACAGTTGATAAAGAGTCGATAATGAATACTTTGTTGATATCATGCTTGACTTAACTTTAAAAGAAGAATATTGCCATACGACATATATGATGGAATCAAATAATGTCAGGATTCAAGAGAAGTTCGTAAGGACACGGTTTTCAGTCTCACTTTCTCTCATGGTAATATATTGCCCCACTTAAAATGATATTTATAGAAGAGAGAATGTACAGCATAATGGTGATGTATTGCGACTAATGAAATATATAGTTCCTGCGATGGTAAAGATTAATCGTTAAAGATTAAGATAATAAATATATAATTATATATTTTTATACATAACACATAAAGATAATAGGATAAAGATAATTAAATTAAATAAAGATTATAATTTATTAATCACATTTATTGTCTTTCTTTATA